ATTATATATATATTATATATATAATATATATCATATATATATTATATATATTATATATTATATTAGGTATTTTTGTGTGCGTTGAATATAGTGCAAGCTGCGTACGAACATAACGCGCTACGGAAGAGTTTGCCCTCGTTCTAAAGAAGTATACCGACTGTGGTAATGTATTGATCTTAAGTTATCTTGCAGTAGATGGTAGCAGTGTATGTAACACACTCTGAGTTTGTGCGAGATCAGCTGTTTCACGTCTGATTTTTATATTTGTTTTAAAGGTCTTTGCCACACACACAAAATGGCAACCCGCGCATTATTATTGAAACAATGTGCGGAGATTAACAAGAACAGTTCCAGGTATGTGAGCGTTCGTCGTAACGTTTCTCACAAATCTAGTTTCCAAAACGATAAGAAAAACAAACGGAATATAACCTCACAAATTTTACATAAGAAACAGAAAATCCGATGAAAAGCGCTTATAAGTTGTACATTTGTATTTGACAAGAAGTAGATTTGAAGGGCGCGATAAAAATTAGATAAAAAATCTTTGCAACGACGAACCGTTGGTTTGTTGCAGGTTGAGCAGATATCTTGCGACCAAGAGCACGGATGTGGAGCCAGGGGTTGATATAATACAGCGCAAAAATCTCCATGAGAGTTTACTGACGAAGGAAGAGGCGAAGAAATTGCAGGACTTGAGGTCTCCGATCGCTGTGACCGGTATCGAGGACGTGGGTTACATATCGGGGGTGCCGGAGGAGCATATCAAAACTCGCCGAGTTCGTATCTATCAACCGGCCAAAAACGCCATGCAATCGGGAACGAATAACATACACTTTTGGCAGATGGACTTCGACACGCGCGAACGTTGGGAGAATCCGCTAATGGGGTGGACATCCAGGTGTGTGTGTGTGTATGTGTGTGCGTGTGATATCTGCATCTGTTAAAATGTATCAGAGCTACTCATATTATATTCTTAAGAGACAGTGTGTATATGTCAATGCAATAATAACACAAATTGTCCGACAGCGGTGATCCCATGTCAAACGTCCAAGTCAACTTCGCGACGAAGGAGGAAGCGATTGCACACTGCAAGAAGATGGGCTGGGACTACTATGTGCAGAAACCGAATGCCAGTCATCCGAAACCTCGCAGCTACGGTAGTAACTTCGCGTGGAACAAACGCACCAGAGTTTCGACTAAATAATGTATAGAAATTTTTGATGTAATTTATTTGAAATTTCTCTCGTGCGCTTTTAATAATCGGGCGCACGTCCCTCGTAGTCATGAAACATTCTCTGTGACAGATAAATATGTATTATACTGCCAATAAATGTGTATATATATTATTCAGCGCAATGTTTAACTTTTTACGTATTTTGTTTTGTAGAGATCTTTCGTGAATTTATTCTTTATTCTTGGGTTTTGTCAAAGAAATAAAAAAGAAAAAACACGATCGAGTCAAATGACAAAACAGTTCGATAACATTTTTAACATTTCTAATTATTTCGCTTTATTATATATAATTGTATACTACAATATTGTTAACAACGTTGTGTATTGACGAGTTGCACGCCTTCGAGCTTAGGCGGAGCGAAATGATGAGAAATATTGTACAATATGGATTTAAGACTAAACCTAAAATTATCGAAGATCATGTTACAATGTCTCGGTAGACCAGTGTGTCGATATAACGCGAATCTCTCTCGGGAGTCCGTTGCGTGTCAACGTGAGTTTGCAACTTATTCTACGAAGAGATCCGACATTTCGAAAAAAAAACTCCAAAGTGCAAAACTTTGTGTGAAAATCTAATTTCTGATATATTTCTTTCATTTGTTTTTCAAAAATTAAAAAGTGTATTTAAATAATTAAGTAATATTGTTAAAATTTAAATAAAGTCGAAGACATCACTCTGCATACATAATATATGAGATGTGAAAATCGGCAACCGAAAATCGTCGATCGGAATAAGTCGATCGTCGCTGCGCCGCAACGGACCCTCGATTATTTATTAATTAAGAAGAAAAGCGTAAAAGACGTGCGCAAATCGCATCTTATGAGAGCGGAATATGAGAAAATGGCCTACGACGTTTATTATCGTAAAAAGTATACTGGGTGGCGAGAGAAAAATTATAAGTAAGAGAAATAAGTTTGTTTATAAGAGTTACGGAGAAGGAGTGTGTCTCTCCCTCCGGAAAAGGCGTTTATATCGTGTAAAACGTTCTTCTTTACGGAATCTCTATTAAATCTCGTAACTTTATTCTGCAAGAGATGATCAAGGTAGAGGAAATTTATGCGATACCGCGAGCAAAGTGCGCGCGCTAAAGAATTTCCCCTAAATTGTCCTGTTCGCGCTCTTCGAGGAGTAAAATGGACTAATATGCAGGTCATTTCTGCGCCTTGTTTTTTTTTTTTTGTTTTTTTTTTTTGTTTTTTTTCAACTGCATGAGTCGGTAGTTTTTTTTATACACCACGACATTGCCGTCAGTTAAGGGCTGTGAACCATAAAATATTGTAAGCTCGGTATACGAGTCCCGTACATTCGCTTCGTAAATTTTCCGCAACAACATTCTCTCGCGATAAGTCTCTTTTTTTCGCAAACACAATTTCGAACTTTTCTGCGGAAAGTACGCCGAAACGTAAAAAAATGTAGAAAATGTGAATTTCTCTTTGTATAAGTACAGAAAGCAAGACCTCGATTATAACTAGCAGATTCCCCGAACTTTGACTCTAGTAATCGAATATTAAAATTTTAAACAGTAGCAATTTTGTTTTTGTTTGTCAAGAAAAAAATTAGATTTTATATTAAAGATCAGAAGTGTGTAATTTAGAAATTTGTACATAGCTGCGCGCGCGTATTAGAAAAATCAGCTCTTTTCTTCTTCCCGGCTCTACTTTCCGCAGACACCTGAAGAAACGCGCGCCCCTGACAACATCGGAGACCTGCGATCGAAAGCAAACGGACTAACGGGGATTGTGTCTCTAAATGCGTAATCACCTTTACGTAATTCTTTATTTATTTATTTATTTTTTTTTTTTGTTTGTTTTACGAAGAAGCAGCCGCGTTCGTGTATCTCTCGTCTTCGCCGTCCTCCTCAACTCCGCGCGCGCACACACATTTATACCCCAACAATACACTATACATTCCAACCGGATACTTTGTTTTTAAAGACACTAACGGCTTATACGGTAATAATTCTATGAAATTTGCCCTGTGTGTGTGCATTATATATTAATCTCAAATGTACAATTCATCTACGTAAACGTTGCGACGGATCGGGGACCTCCCTCACACGGCTTTTTTTATTCGAGAGCGAGATGTGTGTGTGTGTGTGTGTGTGTGTATATGTGGGAGAGCGTTGCGACAAAACGCGCGCGACCCGCCGTCCGATTTTCAAACGGGGAGTAAAGAAAGAGCCTGTCATGAGAAAAGCACGAGCTAGAGTTTCTTTACTTATACGCGCAATTCGCCCCCAAAATTTCTCTCTCTTTCTCTCTGTCTCTCTTTCTCTCTCTCTCTCTCTTTCTCTCTCTCTCGCACCCTAAAGTGATTTTAACTGGATAGAGCGGATAATTCGAAGTAATAGCGATATAAATCTGTTGTCAATATTTCGCCGTCCGACTGCGTGTGTGTTCTTACGTATTTTTATGTATATTATTATATTTATTTATTTATTTATTTATTTATTTATTTATATAATGTATATTTACCGCGTGTACGGCGTGTATATACGTCCATATTTTACCAGCGAGTATGGTGTAGGCTTTTGAGCATACGCGTTTTTTTTTCTTTTTGCTTTTTTTCCGCATTCATCCGCACGCATACGATCCGAGAAAAAAGGGGGACACTAGCACTAGTGTTACTACCACAAAGGGTCTATCCTCTTGTACAGAGGGCGGGAAGAGCCCTCGCGTGATTGTACAGTTTGTCGAAGAAGATGCAGCTTCTCTTGAAAGTGCAGCTCTAACGTCCAGTCTCATTCGTTCCGTAGATTTATTTGTATTTTTTATTTTTTACCTATGTATATAATATACGTATATATATATATATATGTACAAGTGATACGTGTGTGGAAACACAGATGCACGTGTACTTACAACACGCGCATGATTCGCGTGATTCGATTTTATTTCTCGCGCGCGCGCGTGTGTGAATGTACGCGCGCTTTTTTTACGCTTTTTTTATACCTCCTATTTAAGTAATGTATATATATATATATATAATAATATAATTTTAATTGACATATAATTTCATCATATATATGCCTCGTGAAAACCAGCTCCCGAGGATTTCCCGTTCGCCGATCCGCGAATTTGCCGAATCAACGAGAACGTTTTCCCTCAATTTTCCTCTCTGTTTTTTGTTGGTTTTTGTTTTTTGTTTTTTTTTTTTTTTTTTTTTTTTTTTTTTTTTTTATCTTCACGCGCGCGCAAACGGAGTCAAGCTTACAAAGCACAGAAGTATCTACGATCTTGATTAAACGTCGTCAAATATATCTCGATAATATCGTAATAACGCTACGCGGACCTAATGTTATCTCCTATATATGCACGTGTCATAACATCGCCGCTTGAAGTAGCGCAGACATTTGATCAAACGCTTTCGGACGTTTCCTTGCGTGTGTTTAACATTCGGACATTTTCTTAAATTGATTTAATTAATATTCTGCAATTTTCTTAATTGAACAAAGCTCCAAATGCAAAATTTGAAAATTTCAAAATTAACCCAGAAATCCGTGAACCGTTGAACGTGACTTTACATTTTCTCAAATTGATTTCCGTCTTTCATTCGCCACGTGTATATTTGAATCAGAATTTTTTTTACACGAAGCTTCAGATTTTATTTTCGTTGCTAAGAGCGCGAGAATAAAAATTTCGATTTAATTTTTCAATTTTGTTTAAATGTTTCTAACACACACGGTTTCGCGCGCGTTCAAATTTCAATGCCGAAGATATTTTCGCTGATAAAAGAGAAATTTATATTTCGGCGAAACCGAACGAAATACACTTTTTGCAAAAGATAAAAAGAGGAAGAGCGCTTCTTGCAGATCAATATCAGTCAAGAAAATATCGGCAAGGAAATATCCAAGAGATTCCGAATCAGAAGTTTGCGCTATTCGAGCTGCGCGCTTTTGTAAAATGGGATTTCAGCAACGCGATATATACCCAATCACTCGTGTTGTTTCGCTAATTGATAATAGGCACTATAGGTCAACGTGAGGTTGTGTGGCATTTCAGCGGCAATGTTTCGTCTATATAGAAGGAAATAAGGACCGAGATAGAGAGCGGTGTAATTTCCCTCGCGGGGAAATGACGTATATATGTATATATAACACGTCCCGGAGAGCTCATCTGTCTGAAAGATTTACGGAACACATAATACTCGTCCGGAATAAAAAATGTAGAACCGGAGGGGTGTCTCTCTTAAAATAATTCGTTGTCCATAGAAATTCGAACGCGTGCATGATGAGAATTCGTCTCTCCCTCCCCCTTCCGTCCCTCGCGTGTTCGAAAACTCTGATGAAACCAGCCTCTCACGTGTGTTTTTCATTTCTTTTTCTCCTTTTATTTTTCACCATGTGTGTGTGTGTATATATGTGTTTTTTTTTTTATCTTTCGCAAGAGATTGGTATATTTTTTTTTTTTCTAAGGATATACAATGTAAAGTTCTTGAAGAAATCTAAAATAGATTCTCGATATCGAGAGAGTACACATGTGAGTTGCGATATTGTGCGGCGTGTTTTTTTTTGGTTTTTTTGTTTTTTTTTTTAATACTTTCACGTGATTGTAGAGGATTCCAGTGTGTGATAATTTTTTTTTTTTTTTTTTTTAAATACGATCTTCATCAACGCTGCGTTGAACGCGCGCTCGAAGACGTAGCGCAATTTTTTGTTTTTTTTTATATATATATAAATCAAAAGAAGATAAGGGCGAGAAAGAATTTAGAGATTCATTAAAAAGTGGCACAAGTGACGTCACACACGTCGAATAGAATTTAAGAACTTTTATATGTGTAAAGAGAGAGAGCTTTTTTTTTGGTATACAAGAGAAAAAGCTTGAGACCGGAGACAAACAAAGATTTGAATTATTTTATTACTGGCTATTTTTCAAGATGGTAAGATTTTTTTAAGAGAGCTCTAAGTATTTTACGTATCGAGACTGGAGGCGAAACTAAGCATCTCTAATTGACAGTTTGGTTTTTTTTTTTTTTTGTTTTTTTGTTTTTTACGACGTTTTTTGGTTCGTGCAAACAGCCGGCTGTTGAAGCTCCCGGCTTTGTCGCGACGCGGACATTCGAAAGAGCCGTGGAGAAACGCGAGTTTTTTTTTTTTAAAGCGTTTTACATACGCGGATGTTAATTGTTTTCTTTAGCGTTCGTTCGACGATCTCTGTGTGTACAACAAGAAAACAAAAGAGCAAAAACGCGCCTAATCAATCGAGCTATGGCAGTACAGATATTCTTGTTTTTTTTTATTTTTTTTTTATTTTTTATTTTTTATTTCAATTACGCGCGATTGTCGCGATTGTGTAACGTGTGCTTCTCGAAACAGCTTCCTTCTTCGTCGAGATTCGCGGCAAATATTCGCGCGACAATCGAACGCGACAATGAGACTGGCTGATGAGCAGTGTGTCGGGAATTCAAAATCTACGCGCGCGCGCGCGCGCGCGTGAAAAATCGACCGAAAGCAATTAAGAGAAACAAGATTGTTTCGCGGCGATTATCACAAAGAAGAAAATAATCGGAGTATTCTTCGCGGAAAAAAAAAACAAGATCTGATAAGATAACAAGAAAGTTACCACGTGGCCGACGAGAAAAATTTGTCAAAATTTTGTTTCGTCAACAAAAAACGTTTTGTCGGCAAAAATCTCAAATAAGGGCTCGGCAAATTTTTTTGCTGTAGCAAAACTTTTTTTTCCACGTTCGAATGCGACAATAACTACGTCACGATCACCAAAGGAAGCCACATTATCTCCGCCTGTGTGTGTGTGTGTGTTTCTTTTTATTCGTTTGGTTGTATTTTTTCACTTTTCTCGCCGCGTTAGAGTGACGCGAAAGTAATTTATTCCTAAGATTTGAGGCAGTACTCTTTTTTTTTTTTTTTTATACCGCTAAAATTCGTTCTTCGTAGCAAACTCCGGGCGGTCTGCGTTCATCTACGAGCTAACGATCTAGGTTTTCTGTATTTTTTTTTTTGTTTTGTTTTGTTTTGTTTTTTCTTAATTGTTTCTGTGGAGAAGACCGTTCTCAACGGAGTCGAATGTGTGCCCAGATTTGGTCCGACCAGCCCCCCTCCCCACGACGTAAGAGACAAGGATCGCGATGTGTATATAAATGTACAATCGATAAAAAGGTGTGATTCCAATTTGTTTGTTTGTTTGTTTCTTTCTCACGATTTGTTTCGCCGAGAAGAAGCCCGTCTCCTCTATAAAGCGCGAATGCAAATGTCGCTCCTGTTTCTCTTTTATCCCTCGATGTTTTTCTCTCTTTTTTTTTTTTTTTTTTTNNTTTTNTTTTACGTTAAGAAAGATGAAAATCTCACGGAATTAAACGCTGAAACGCTACTACATCTCGAAGCAAGCGAGTGAAATCGAGACTCTCTCTAACAAACGAACAAATTTTGCAACTTTTCGATAATTGCGTTATCGAATGCACTTCGAAATGTGAAAGAATTTCTTTCTCGTCCGCGCTACGTAGATCTGCGTCTTTAAAATCGCGTCGGTTTTATATGATAACCAATTTGAAATTTCAATGTTGTCAAAAGATTTTTCATACTCGAACATTTTTTTTTTTGTTTTTATCATTTTCTTTTGGCGCGCGAGGCGCCTTCTGATTTTGTTTTGCAATAGAAAAGCCGTCAAAATATTCTCGATCTCGTCCTTGTCCCTTTTTCTCGTCTCTTTCTCTCTCTCTCTCTCTCGCTCTCGGTGCAATGGCTCTCAACCTCCAAGAAAGAATCAGAAATCGTTACAAAAGCGTCTTGTTGTTCGACGTTTTTATCAACAATCACTTGCGCGCATCTATCAACGGTCGTCGGGAAGCATTTTCTCGATTAATCACGGTCGGTCACAATTTCGAGATCACAATTTCGTAACCGAGAACATCACAGATGGACTCGACAAAACGCGTTTCCAAGGAAGGGAAAGTTCGTTCGAGAAATTCATCAACTCTCAGCGAGGAATCTTGCAAAGCGTCCTTCCTTGTTCGCGGCCGAGAACCATCGCCACGTAAAAAAAAATCAAAAAAAAAAAAAAAAACAAAGAAATCTCATTCGACACTTCGACGACACACACGCACACACTCACGCAACACACCGCGCATATCAGTCGCACCCTGTCTCGAGGAGGTTCGCCTCGAAGAAGCCATATGCGGATTATTGTTCTACCTAGCTAGAATCTGCGCTTTACGTGTGAAAAGTCTAATAATATGTTACGTCTACGTTATTATAATATTATATCACTGAGAGTCATGTGTTGTCGTCGTCGTTATTTGTCGTCGGAGGCCGCCTTCGACCGCCGGACATTGTTGAATTTAGGATCAGCTGTCGTCCGGCATGTCCTGGTACTCCTCGCTCTCCCGATGTACGAGCACGTGCACCACCGTCGCCTCCGATTGCTGCCTGAGCAACGGCGGCCTCGCGGGCGGCGCGGTGTTCTCCGGACTCGGCTCCGTAACCAGGATACTCACGTCGCTACCCTCGACCGGCAGCTGCACCGGTTCCGGTGGCGGCGCCCGCCGTCTCAGACTGCCGCAGCGCCGATTGAACGCCTCCTTGATGTCGCGCTGCAGCGTGTTCAGAGAAAGCGTGGTACCGCTCGGTCGAAGCGAGCCACGCTTCGAGATCGGCGGGCTCACCGTATCGTCCTCCGGATATTTTTCCACTGCGTCCTGCCGGCCCAGAGTAGCACTCAGCGATCTGCGGAAACAGAAGAGAAACGTTGTTGCCGATGAGCGTGCGGAGGAAATATCTGTCGCGTTATCTAAAAATCTCCCGCGATCGCACGTGTTACCGAGAGATGTTTTTTTTTTGTTTTTTGTTCAAACTGTCTACAAGTCCTCAAATCGCCTCAAAAATCAAAACGAGAAAAATTATTACGGATGCATTTTTTTTTTTTTTTTTTACCATGCAAGAGTTCGAAGTCACGAACTAGAAAAAATGTGATTTACTCAAAAAGCCTAGACTAGAAGAAGCATGACACGATATTACTGATCAAAGTGTGTTGCGCTAATTAAGGGGAGTAGTCCTAAATGTCGCGAAATCGATGCGCCGAAATATAATCAGCAGCAATGACAACTCGGACTTTTGTTTACTCAAACTACAAATCGATAATAAGCGCCGTAACGAACTGTCAACGGGGGAAATGTAAATTATGCGCCCCGAGAGTCGTTATTTTCTAATCTATGCAGCTCTAATTATATGTTAACTAAATTCGCTAACGTTATTTGTTATTTACGGTATACACTAGTTTCGTATAACTATTTATACCACGTGTGTGACTATGTGTATTTTTCTTGATAAATACATGTGTGTGTGTGTGTATGTGTGTGTGCAATACTTCTGACTGGCATCTTACGAAAAAAATCGAACAACAAGAGATCGGAAAAAATTCTAAGTATATATACTTTACAAGTTTTACCTGCTCGTTTTCTTGCCTGAGGAGTTTTGAAAGAAAAAAGAAATCAGATATTAATTTTGCGCACGGCGGAAGTGTGTGTTGGAACACGGTGTGCGTGAAAAGTTTTATTGATTAAACTCCTCAGGCCGATTCGCTTTTTTTTTTTTTTTTTTTTTGAGACGTTCATTGATTCAAATTAAATCTAAAGTGTGAGAAACGTAGTCTCTCTGACGATATAAACAAATTAATTTTTTTCTCTCGACGGTTTATTCGCGAATTACCGCGACAGCGACAATATCCGCTGTGCGGTGTTTATTTATATTTATTTTATTTTATTTTTTTGTTTTTTGCTAGAAACGATTCGAGAATGAAAACCAACCTGACGGTGCCGTGAGAATCGGAGCCTGAGCTCGAAGCTGCGGAAGGTTGTTCGGCGGTTGGTGAAGGACGGGATACGGTTAGCGTCGGGGCTTGCAGGTCCTCGTGGGTTCCTGTGGCGCCGGAGAGCAACAGCAGAGGAAGATTAGGAAACAGCCACGCCGAAGCGGTGCCGATTTCGCTGAGGTCGCTGGCGTCGCTGGCCCTGGAGGACTTGCGGCTACTCGCCCGGCTACCCCGGTGCACATGCAGCAAAGCCGACAGCTTACCGCTCCATCCGCCTCCGCCCTTACCATCCACGCCCGGGCTCGAGGTCTGCGTCTGCGAGTCAACTTCCTGGGCGATTCTTTCACGCTCCCTTTTCCTCCTGTGTCAGATTATTTTCTTGTTTATTTTACGTATAATAAAATTAACTCTTGTTTAAATATAAATTTTGTCTACTTTTTTTATACACCTTCATTGAAAAACTAATCAGAAAATAAAAATTAAATTTTTATTAACGCGCAATAACTATTTCATATTTAAAAAATTATTATATAATTTATAGAAAGAATAAAATAAATAATATCAATGTTATATATAACGTGTGTACAAAGCTTTTTTCATTATTTTAATTTTAATATAATTTTTATTCACATAACATTAAATTAAAATGATGATAAATATTTAATTCTCCTTATAAATGTCCTTTATTGCGCTTTGACTTCTCGAAATTGCGCGCTAACACGTGAGAAATTTATTTCTCCAGAAAAAAAAACTATCTGAAACTATTTGAAAAGATTTATTCGTGTACTCACGCAATGTATTCCCTTATAGATTGTTGAATCAATTTGGCAGCTTTATCTTGCCGCTTCCAGATTCTCGTGGAAGACACTATCTCCAATTCCTTCCTGGTCGGGAACTGCTTCTTAAATTTGCCGTCCATCTGGTCCTGAAGTTTTCTGAAGTCATCCGATTCTTCTACGTGTCCAAGAACGTGCTTGACGAGCGCGTGCAGGATGTCCAGACAATGAATCTTGTTACCCTTTGCGATGGGAAGATTAAAGCTGACCAACGCCACGACGTTGGGCTTTGATATCCCCAGCGGCGGGTCTAGGCTCGCTATGAAGTCGCTCAACTGTGAGAAACTGATGAATTGAGTCGCATGCGGATCGTACCTATAAGAAGAAAACAGAAAACAAACCCCCAACAAATATTTTCAACTCAAAGTAAGCGAATTGAAGACGCGTTTGATTCTTCGAATGATGAAGAAAATAGACATTTCTTACTTCGACCATCGAATGTAGAACATCTCCAGGTCATCCTCGACGATTCCGATCTCTTCTTCCTGATGTGCTTGATTGAAGTTCTCCAGAATGATGGCGATGTACATATTGATGACTATCATGTAGCTGATGATAATGAACGACGTGAAGTACGTGATCGCCAGCAGAGGATATCCGCAATCTCCGTTCATCTGTCGAACGTTCGGGGTGGGATCGCATTCGGGCGGTTGCACCATCAGCGATTCCAACACATCGTTCCATCCGGCCGATGTCATCAAACGGAACAGCAGCTGCATACTTCTACCGAACGTTTCGAAGTTCACCTGAACACCGGGGCAAGAAAAAAACCTCGAGTTTACCTCGATCGAATTGATTGAAAAAAAAAAAAAAAAAGAACAACTACACGATCTCTCACCATATCGTCCAATGCGCCCTGCTTCCTGACGTGTCCGAAAACGGACATGCCGATGATCGCGTAGATAAATGTGATCAGGGCCAGAAGGGCCCCGATGTTGAAGAGCGCTGGAAGACTGACGATAAGCGCGAAGAGCAGCTTGCGGATACCTTTCGCGGCCTTGATGAGCCTCAAGATTCTACCAATTCTGAACACCCTTACGACTCGCAAGAGCGTCGGGGACACAGGGAAGTCCATCATGATGTCCTCCATCAGTATACCCAGAATGGACGCCAACACCAGCAAAAAGTCGAACAGATTCCACGGGACCGTGAAGTAGTGATATCGCAGACCTATGATCTTCACGATCGCTTCAAGACCGAACACGGTCGTGAAGAACGCGTTTGACACCTCAAGGACGAAGAAGATGGGATGGGGCTGATTGTAGTGCTCGATCCCCATCGTTAGCATGTTGAGGAATATCAAAACGAAGATAGCTATTTCGAATCTGCAATATGGGGTGGAACATCTCTTTAATAGTCGCAATAAAATTCTGATCTCAAACACGGAGCTTCCCGTCGTTGTTTATACGGCGCGAAAGTGGAGCATGCACATTTAGCATTTGTGTGGCAAAAATAGCGTAAGTGGCATTCGCTCGCTACATGTGAGCTAATTTATTTCTTCTCGTCGTCGTTTTCGCGACGATCAAGTCGCGAATCTAATTTTCTCCGCGGTTTTCTCGACAAAATTTCGCGACGCGTTCCCAATTGTTTCTCCCTCGTTAATTTTAAGCTAAGAGTTTATACAAGAGAGAGAAAAATTTCCCCGAATGTGTGTGCGCGCGCGCGTGTGTGTGTGTGTATGTGTGCGCGCGCACATAGAATTAGAAAGAGTTCGCGTAAACCGCGAGCTTATCTCGTCTAATATGCGCGTCTATGTACATCTGCGTCGCCGCTGGTGTGCAGCGACGTTGCGTCTCTCTTGCAATTCGGAGAGACGTAAATGTTCTTTGAGTATCGATTTCCCATTACTCCCCGAGTGTAACGGATTGCGTAACGCTCGACATTTGTCCTCGACGGACCGACGCGTTGCCGTCGTTCTTCTCGTTCTCGGAAGAAGCTCTGAAAAGAAAATTCACGCATTGTGTCACGGCAATTTGCGACGCGCGCGCTAACACGCGATCAACCGGAAAAGAAATTGCGCGTCGCGCGCAAAGGAAACGAAAACGTGTCGCGCGCGGTTTTGTGCTCGAGAAATTTATAGCCGTATCTATCTATTGAAGCGGGAGAGAGACATTTGGATTCTTTTCTTTTTTACCTTTCTTCCTATCGTCGTTCGCCCTCTCTCTCGTCTCTCGCGGTGTTTTCCGCGACTCTCGCGAAGCGCCGACGAAACGCGATGATCCGTCGAGAAATCTCAGCGGATTCTCTGATCTACAGCCGGATCGTGAGAGTCTCTCAACGAGAGACTATTCCTCGTCACAAACCACGCGCTCGCGTGCGCACCGCGACGTGAGCTACAAGGAGGTGCTGCGATAGTTTTTTTATAAAAAAAAAAAAACTATACGCGGAGAGAGTTCCACAAACCACAAACGTCCGACGTCTCGTGTGACACGAGGATTTAGCGCGAGGACGTTGGTGATTTACGCGTGGAAAACGAGCACCTGCCGTGTAGCTCGCGTACATCGGGAGCGCACACAGTCCGAACCCCACATGTGCTCGCATCGTGTACCAGTTTACGTCACTTTGACCACACGCGTTTCTCTCTACGCATTCGTTGTGTTCGTCGTTGCAGCTAAATCACCACACAAGTGCGGCGTAAAGAAGATTCGATTGCGTTTGTGGGAGGGAAAAAGCCAAGGGTACTTGTGAAACGCTTCAGCGAATTGCGGATGCGTTTCACAAGTGAGATGAGAGTTGGGAAAAAAACAAGATGTCGAGAAACAGTAAGCAAACACCAATGATTTTCTTTTGTTTTTTCTTTTTGCTCAAAAAAGTGCGTTTCTTCTTATTTTTTTTTTGTTTTTTTTCTTTTGTTTGTTTTACACGACACATAATTACCTGCGAGAATTGGACAGGTCGTAGAACATTGCGAGGAATTGGTTCATCGGACGTTTTATAACTTTTTGCGGCTTTTTACGGCCAAGCTTTTTCATGGCAGTGTAGTAGTGTTTTTGACTCTCGGTCAAAAACATTTCTAACACCCCACCTTCGTACTGGAAAGAAAACACGTCATTATTTTTCACAGCTGAATCGAACACCTTTTTTGAAAATTAAAGTAAAAAAACTGCGTGTCGCAGCATTGGTCTCAAAAGAGACCATATTTAAAACTAAGATAGACGGAAAAAGTTAATACAAATAAAAAGTATAATTATAATTACTATGTAATTACAATTATACTTAATGTAAATATTGAGATAAAAATAATATGTGAATAGTGACATATAATTAATATAAATATTAATATAAATATTCATTAAATATTAATACAAATATTAATTATTAAATATCAATTAATATTAATATATAAATATTAATATTAATTACGTCACAAATTATGGTATTACTTGATACAAATATTTTAAAATTAATGATGTAAGTATTTGGAAGATCGAAATTTCGCTGAGCGTTTTTTTTTTACCTTCTTCTTCAACATGTTGAAATTGTCTATGATGACTCCAATGAAGAGATTGAGCGTGAAGAATGAGCCGCATACGATGAATATGACGAAGTAGAGATAAGCGTACAGATTCGCCTCCCTCTGCGGTTGCAAATCCACTCCCCTCGCGTCCACGGCGTCCTCCATCACCTCCATCCATCCCTCGAAAGTCGCCACTTGAAACAGGGCCAGGTAAGCGATGCCGACGTGATCAAACGTGATCTTGCTGTTCTCCCAGGTGTAGTTTTTGCTGTAACACTCTTCCATCGTGCTGACTTCCTGAAATGGACACGGGTTGCCATTCTGAATTTCAAAGCGACCGCCGCGAAATATATCTCGAATATCATATGTCTTTACGTATAATATTCAATAAAATATTCAATATTATTACTTTATACGTGTGCATATATTAATCGTAGGATAAAAGACCCAATTACTGACCAATTAGTATCCCTATTACTGTCAATAAAAATTTTACCAATTTTTATAATTTATAAATTTCAAACGATTTTTTAAAATTTTCAACAAATGTGATTATTGTTATAGCGAATAAATAAAAATTAAAGCCGAGAATTCGACTGATTTAGAAAAAATATTTTAAAGAACGCGTGTTTAAGAAATTTAAATTTCTTGAAGTTTAAAACAATTTAAGAAACACGCTTTTTTTCCTGATCACGTACTAAGAAACGAGTAAAGTAGGTGAAAGGTATTAGACGCAAAAAAAAAAAAAGAAACTTTACACAGAAAAGAAACCTGAACAGAAATTGACAGTATTAGGTGATTGACCGTTATTTTAATTAAACAATGAGAAATTAATTTTACCTGATATTTTCTATTTCATTCTCAAATTTATATATTAAGAAGAAACTGGAAAACAATTAAGACACCGGAAATTAATTGTCTGTTTAATTGTGTCAGTAATCTAATTTGTTTGTTCAATTTTATCCACTTTACTTGAGAATTTTTGATCAATTAAAAATCCCGTTTTACAGACTCACCAAAATATCCAGCCTGTTCCCGTTTTCGTCTACGCACTTGAAGAATTTGCCGCCGAAGAACTGAACGCCCATTATCGAAAAAATAAGCCAGAACACGAGACAGACGAGGAGCACGTTGAATATACTAGGTATCGCATACATCAACGCGTTCACTACGATCTGCGAGACGTGAAGAAAAGTTCTCTCAGTATTTAGCGCAAATACATACTCACACACACATATGTTCGCGTGTACTGTGTGTGTGTGTGTCAGAGAAATAAAGTTTTGTTTATTTGCAGAATATTTACCCTCATGCCTTGCCATCTTGAGATCGCTCTCAGCGGTCTTAGGGCGCGTAGCGTTCTTAGTGATCGCAATACTTTGAGATTTTCATTTTCTTCTATCAAAAGGCTAAACATGGATACCTGTTCGGGGGGAAGGAGACAATTTAGTTCGAACCTCGTCTCGTTTGAATTCCGCGATTCGCATGCACGTATATTTCGTACAAGAGAACTAATATATGTAAAAACGCGCTGATATAAATTAATTAATTTTCAAGCAATTAATATTTATATCCGGCGGTTTATTCGCGACAACGGTTTCGTGTAATATATTTCACTAAAAAAAAAAACAAAACAAAGAAAGAAGAAGATTAGAAAGTATCTAGTTTTTAAGACAGTGAAAATATCAGAAATCGTTCATTGCGAATAATAAAAAAAAAACGCAATGTATTTCGACTAAAGTATTCTATATATTAGATTTATATGTGCCAAAGGATAAGATTTATTTATCCTTTGCAGTCTAAATTGTTTTTTTGTTTTTTTTTTTATTCCAAATACTTTTCTTCCGAATTAATTTTAATTAACGTCGAGTCGCACACGCGACTTAGCGCGACGATATTGTGACGTCGAGTTGAACTGCAAAGGATTAAAAAAAAAAAAAAAACAAACAAACAAATTGTCGTGTCAGATCTACTTTTTAATCCTTAGAGCAGCTGGACATTCCGGTGCTTAATCAAAAGTAACAAGCGTTGCAAAATTTTTTACTCGGTCTTACACTATTGACCGATTGCGCGATACATTGAGATTGAGTTTGAAGGTTTTTCTTTTTTTTTTAGACTTCGCGTTCAATCCTGCAAACTCCAATTATTGCTACGGTTTTTTGCTAAGCGAATGTATCCGCCATTGCAGCGAGAGTTTTCGCTGGGCGGACGCGTCCGCCCACAGCACACTCTGAGGATTAATCCATTTTATAGTTGAAGTCGCAGATCTCGGCGCGCAATAGAAATTAATCGTCAGATTAATGCGCGCGCGCGCGCGCGAACACAAAGTTTCAGCGTTGCATGCGAAATCAAGATAAATCGCACATTATTTATTTATCTAGATATTTTTGTAATCTCCTCATGCGCAAGCGATTTCGATTAATGTTAACAAATGAAACGAACACACACACTACAATTTATATATTAACAATAATCATAGTATGTGTAAAATCAATTAAAACTGCATGTGACACATGCGTTTGGGGGAGAGGGGATCAGTCTCGATACATCGTTTTTTTTTTTTTTTTATTATTAAAATACATCAGAAAAGTCAACGGAAAGGAACGATGTGAGAAGAGACATGTAAACTTCCAACGTACCTGGATCCACGAGGCCACACATAAAACATATAAAAAGGGAACACGGAAACGTTCAAACAATTATTAACAACAACATGTATGTTTTCTGTCCACTGAGAATGAATTTAAATTGCTCGATTTTTGTTGTTTGCCGCGTAACACGTAAACGTATATATATATTTATATATAAACAGAATAAACCACCTAAAATTACGACAGAAAATAATTCTTACAATTTTTATTGCAAACAAAAAACCTCGAAGAAGCCGCTGAAAAGAGTTTCGCAAGAAGAAGCTTCAAGTGATTGTTGTGTAAAAGCTCTCTATGTAGACACTGATCAAATCTATATGCGTCATTCAACAATATATAAACAAACATTTTGCAGAGAGAAAGAAAAGAGCGAGAGAGAGACAGAAAGAGATAAAAAAGAAAGAGGTTCTCGTTGGCAATAAAAATTATAAAAATTATTCACGATAATTAAGTGGTTCATTCTGAATAAAGAAGATGATGCTTGGATGGACAAGCAGAGGAAATTCGACGAGACACAGAGCTCATGCCACACAGCGAGGCGAGCGCGGCTTCGCGCTTCTCTTCTCGCTAATTTTGATTTTACTTACGAAAACGATTATAAAATCCAGGATTGTCCAGAAACTGGTGAAGTATTTACAGAAGCCTAGGGCTAGCCATTTCAGAAGCATCTCGACGCTGAAAAGCGTGCAGAAGCCAAGATTGGTCCAATAGAGAATGTTCTTCAAAAAAGGATTGTCGTCTAGGTAGATGTCCTCGAAGCACAGTGTTATGGAAGATGCGAAAATTAAGACTAGGATCATCCATTCGAACGCGGGCGTGTCCACCACCGAGAGCACGCCCGTTCGGACCTTGATCCATTTCTTGCCGAGGTTCGTGGCGAGGCAACGATTTATACAGCTACACCTAGACACACAATCGCGTTCGTTCCCGAACATTAAATAATCTGATTCCGTTAAAAGATAAATAAATTTTCTTCGTTTTAAAATTTTTGGAAGATCAATCCAGAGAAGAGAAAAAAGAAAGAGAAAGAAACACGTCCTACTTTTGGTAGCAGTGCTGGGGGAAGCAGTCGAGCGGCTCCTTGCGCTCTTTGTTCCTGCCGAACCCCGGAAACGAGCCCATCCCGTCGATGTACCTTCCCTTGCTGTCTCTTCTACCGCCGACCGTGAGCTCGTCCACGTAACTCACGAGAGCGTGCCACGGACGTTTCCCCTTGGTCTCCTCGATCTTTACGGGTGGTTGTTGCTTTTCCTCCGGCAGCATGGCCACCTCCTCGTCCCGCTTGCTGGTGTCCTTCAGCACTTCCAGCTCTATACTCTCCTCGACGTGGGTCTCGTTGCTGTTGTCCTTCTCGGGCACCTTCTTGCTCTCCTTCTCCTGACTGCTCTGACTATAGGTGGTGAGAGTGGCTTGACGATAGACCGGGTCGTACGTGAAGACCGGCTGATTGAGACTCTCCTGATACGATCTATTGTAAATATTGTCTTTGGGAAGGCTCAGCACGGTCTCCTGGATCGCGTACTTCTCCTTGTCGGACTTGTCCATCACCTCGCGCACGATCTGTTCCAGTCGGATGTTCTTCTCGTTCTCCGAGTTCTCCTTTCGATGTTTCTGCTTGCGCACGATCGACCTGATGCGATCGAAGGATCGCGCGAGCTTCGACTCCTCGCCAACCTCCTCCTTCTTCTGCTTCAGCTCCTCGGAGTTGAAGCTATTGAGCAACAACGCCAAGAAGAGGTTGAGGACCATGAAATTGCCCATTACCAGAGCCGGCAGGAAGATCGCGAAGCACGTACCCGGTCCGTCGTCCCTCTCGGCGCGCATGCAGTCCCACAAAGGCTCGATCCACTCGCCGCACAGAATGCGGAATATCATCATGAACGAATGGAAGAAATCGTTGAAGTTCCAGCGCGGAACCGGATCCGGATAGAATTTGTCCGGTGTGTAGTCCTTGCTGAACAGCTGCATGCCGATAACCGCGAATATGTAGATCACGATCACCAGCACGAAGGTCAGATTACCGAGCGCGCCGATTGTTGAGATAATGATGCTGAGGAGCACCTTCATGGTCGTCCAGGACTGAGCGAGTTTGAGAACGCGCAGCAAACGTAAGCCACGTATCACCGACAGGCCGTCCACCAGCTCGAACGTGAGATCGATGAGCGATGCGGAAACAATAATCAAATCGAAATTGTTCCAGCCGTTGTTGAAGAAGTCCTTGCTGAGCGCGAGGAGCTTCAGGAAGCATTCGAACGTGAAGATGCTGGTGAACACTTTGTTGCCGATGTTGAGCGCCTGTCGTATCGATTCGCTCATACCGTGATGCTCCATCGCCAGAAATCCGGTATTCAGGACGATACAGAGGGTGATCATCAGCTCAAACAGAGGATCTCTCACCACCTTTATAATTTTTTTTCAAGGAAGTAAAAGTTAAAAAAAAAATTCTTTATGTAATCTTTCTTTTTTTTTTTACTTTTATTTCAAAATTTATTTGGATGTTCTGTGTTTGACAAGTCTGTGTCACACACAGAATGCGAGAAACAATTAACGGATGGCTTTACCTTGTACAGACAGTTCTGAAATCGTAGCCATCCTTCGTAATCCACGCAGCATTGAATACACTTATCGCAGTTTCTATCTGGAAGATCATCTGCAAGCAGGATCATTTCACCGGATGATCGTCAGAATATTGTGAAAAATCATAAATTGCAATGTAAAAAAATTCAAAAATTATCATGCAACTGTTTTTAAATAAACAAACGTCTCACTCAGTTTTATGTATGAGCAAATTGTTACTCAATTTATTGGGTTTTTTTTGCGCGTTACGGCAACATATTGCGACGTCAAATTCGTTACGCACGTGACCAGGTTTTTCTCCGAGCGATATTGTTTTAAAAAACAAACGTGAAACACCGCGGAGAGTTGCCACTCACCTAAAACTACAATGTGCGACAGGTACTCTGGCGGCAGCGCGTACATATGTTTCTTCGTTTTGACCCCGTTGCACTTGAGCACCCGGATCTCTCGGTTGCCGGTCCTCACCGAGACCGTGACCGGCGCGGGCGGGCACTCCGGGTTGCGCGGCGGCGGTTGGGGAATCGCGGACTGCTGCGGGATCCTGCCGTGATCCCGCGGTGATCTCTCGTGAGACCTCTCAGCCCGGTGTTCCCGATGCGACTCCCGTTTGTCGTGCTGCTCCTCGGCGGACGTGACGTCGTCGCCGTCGTGATCGTCGACCACCCCGGAATCGTCCAGCGACGACTGCTGGTTGCTGTTGTTGCTGGCCTGTCTCGAGTGCAGCATCCCCCGATTCGGCGCAAGCCGGTGAACCGTGTTGGGATCCGGCGCTCTGGGACTGACGTTCTGAAGCGGCAGGTGGGACGGTCGCACGTTCGAGTGCCGGGGACTCGGACTCGGGCTGGGAGTCACGGATCTGCGAACGGAATTTCCCCGTCACATTTCAGGAGATCCGCTGAGAAAACGAGAGAAAGCCGTTCCGAAGTGCACTTTGCCGGAAAAAAAAAAAAAAACGAGATATTTCGCATTCTGTACATTGTGCGGAGAATAATCGCAAATCGATTGCGTTGACGAAGAGAAGGCGATTCGAGTTTGAACCGAGTTTGACTCGATCTCTCACTTGACAAATTCGCTTGTCGACGTTCGATTCGTCGAGCTAATTAATCTCAAGATCGCGCGGAACTGCAGACAAGTTTAATTGACACTTGCAATAACGAACTACTTCGGAAACAATCCGACGTACACGTCACTAACAACAAGTTTTCATTTCAGCTTAGTATCGCGAAAGATTGGCCAACTTCGAGCGTTGCTTCGGACGTACAATCGGACGTGTCAGAAACTAACGGGAGAGGATGAGAAGAAATGCGAAGAAATAATCGGAGAAAATAATTTTTGATCCTTCCCCTCCCTCCCACCCAACTGTTCTAGCGAAAAGAAAAGAAACGATCGCGGAAGAACACGCGCGGATGAAGACAGTAGTAGCTCCGGGATACAGCGTATTACTTTCGTCGGTCTACACGTTCCATACGGCCTTCCATCGCAAGATTGCGAGGCAGAAGAACTCGTTTCCCTTTTTCCTTTTGCTTTTATTATACCGCGCACAGTTTCTCGCCAACGTTGGAAGCGTTTATGATGTTTCTTTCTTTTCCCACACTCTCGCGCGTCTTTCGGCCTGCCGCAGCAGTTTAACGACTTTGCAGCGAGTCGCTTATATACGTGTGTGTGTAAGATAAAAATTACTTCAACACACCCCCTCCGCACGAGGCGCCGAATACTCTTAGCGTCTGATAAGATTATAAAATGGTTTTTTCTTTCTGCGCGCTCTCGCAACCGAAACGATTTTTGCCAGTGAAAATAAATAAATGTATGCTCTTCGTTTTTTGTAAAAAAAAAAAAAAAAACACCATTTTGATATCTCCATATTTTTCGGAGTGTTCCTTTTGATCTCGAATAAAAAAAATAAAAAAATAAAACCAACTCCCACGAGATCTCTCGTCAAACGGAAACACGTGTTTCGATATGTTGTTGCGCATCTGTCAATTTTCGAGTTAAAGCAACATTTTACACGGTAAAAAAGAAAATGCTAACTTAAACATTTTTCACATTTTCCCTGAGGATCCGTTCTAAATTTTTAACTCATTTGTCATTACTTCATTCGCGTTACTTATTGATTGACAAACTGTTGAATTTTGTTTTATTTTTTTGACTTTAAGTTTGATGCAAAACTAACACAGGAAACACTTTTCCCGGAGGACACTTTGGAATATTTTTATTAATTAAAATATTCTTTCAACGTACGATATTTTTCCAAACATTTTCCGAAGTCACGAATACGTAATTTCCCCGCTGGAAAAGTGTTAAAAACCACATGGAAGAAAGGTTAAAGTTACAATCGCAAATGATTGACTTGAAAAGAACATTTACTTTTTGCGTTAAATTAACGTGTGAAAATAATTATTTCGACTTGTCGATTTTGGCGAATCCGATCGCGCGTTTCGCGTGTCAAAACTCAGGATTAATTCAGGATCTACTTTATACAAACTATTCTTGGAATGTTGAACTGACGTGCGGATTAATTTTAAACAAACTACGTTAAAAGAGCTCGAAATAATATTAATTTAAAATAATTGCGTTAAAAGCACTCGAAATGACATTCCGATTTTAAGTGACATATGCAAAATGTGAAGTTACGAAGTAGTTGACGTAAATCTCCATATAACGCGCGAAAACCCGTTGCAAAAATAATAACATATCAATTTTCACATCGGAAGTGATAATGAAAACGGAGGGGTGGGGAGGAAAGAGGTGACGCAAGAGAAAATTTTAACACGTGGACAAATTTTTTACCGCGTTAACTTATAGTTCGGAGAAACGAACGTTCTGATTTTGTTTTTGCACGAACGTAAGCCGGCGACAACAAAAATCAACGCCGGTTAATCACAATATTCAAAATGTTCTTTCCCGATTAAACAAGGCTAAAAGCTCCGCTTTATTCGCGTGACCTGGTATAAACCGGGCGCGAGCGGAGGTACGGCACGTACATATATATATATATATATATATATATACATATGTATATATATATATACATGTATATATGCACGGGCCACGACACAACAACAAAACGGTCATGACAAAATCGAGCCGCAGAGAAGAGTCGGTCGTAAATACGGGGACATAAAAACCTGCTGCGTGCACCACCGTTTCTCTCCTGACCGGCGCTGCTTCGACCCCGTTTTCTTCTGCGCGTCTTTTTCCTCGTGTAACTGCTCAGCAGAACACCTTTACGGGCGTCTATTCGCTTCTGCTTATCTTTCGTCAATGTCTTGATGTTGATCTTCGACGGATCGAAGCTGAACGTCGAGTCCTCACGGTGATCCGTCAGGTCTTTTCTGCGTTCCTATCGTGTTGCAAAACGAAAACGATTGGTTGGATCAAAGTAAGATAGCGAAGATCGCAAAAAACGCGAAAAAAAACCAAAAAAAAAAAAAAAACCGGCGTTTGATTGATGAGAACGCAAATCGCGCGTCTTGGAGCGATTCCAACTTTTGCAATTACTTCAATTTCAAATACACACACAGCAGTTCACACCGAAGTCTTGTGTTATAAACCTCTCATTTTTCATCAGAAACGAGACTTAATGTGACGTAACTTCTTTCTTAAAAAAAAATGTTTAATAATTCTCGAGAACGACCGGCAAAATATTGAAAGACGCGAAATTGAAAATTCACCTCGTTTGTGATCTCGGCTTCCTCTTCGTAACTCAACGCAACGACGGCCAGCATCAAGTTCAGCAGATAGAACGAGCCGAAGAACACGACCACCGTGAAGAACAAAACGGCGACGGGCCCGCATGCCGATAACACCTGTTTTATATACACACAGACGGTTTTTTAAATTTCCACAAACGCGCAAAATAAACTTCTGCGCTCGGAATGCGAAAAGTTCGGCTGCGAACTTTTCCAGATGGGTTTTTCAAATCACATTCACAGAGCGAATGAGGTAATGGAAAATGATTTCTCTATAAGAAATGCAAACCCCAAGCTTTTCAGGTACAGATTCTCCCATTCTCGGGCGCGCAAATTTAATTAACGCAATTACAAGTGCGTTAATTTGAACTTTAAAATTATTTCGTTCGTACACCCTCAGCACTTTTCTTATCTCTCTAACATATCTGTTATTAGTTTCATCTTTGTTTTATGTATGTTTCCTTAGATTTTGTGCGCCAATAAGTTGTTCCGTTTATAAAAAAAAAAAAAAAAAATTTATAAAACAAATACAAGCATAAAGAGGTTGTGCATTAGTATATTGCGAAGTTTCTCTCTGTGAATGTATTTAATGTGCAATAAAAATGTCACATGAGTTTTATCTCAGCGACTAAATGTGTTTTTTATCGATATAATAATTTTCTTCGATTTCTTTATTTCGATTTCATTTTCATTAATTTCAATTTTTTTTAATAACTACCAAATGTTTCTCCAATTATGATTTACTGCTCAATCTTTTACACAATCTTTTGTTTTCTGATTTATCTACTTATGACCGAGGAGCTTAGTAATTTTCAAATAATTTTTATTAATGTGTGCTGAGAGATAATGTTCTTTTTTTTTCAATGTAAATTATTATACTGAAAAAGACTTAATGTCGTAACACATTTAAAAAAATTTACGCTCGTGCATCTTTTATATTGCGTCGCATTGGCTTTTTTTTTTTTTTTTGTTAAAACAAATTGAATACGGAGAGTTGTGTGTACGTGATCTCTCTTTGTACAATTGATATATATTCTACGCTTAAGGTATACCGCAAAGCCAATGGAAACACAAAGACAACGTCTGCGTCAGACAACGACCTTATTGTAAACGTCCTCCCAGTAATCCAGAGTAATCAGTTGAAAGGTGGTGAGCATTGACCACAGGAAATTATCGAAGTTGGTGTAACCGTAGTTTGGATTAGGGCCAACGCAGAGACAAGTGTAGCTCTCGTTGCAGTGCCTGGAAAATAGGTAAGAGACCTACATTGTCGAGACATTGCAATATCCGTCGACGTTCGTGAGAATCGTTTCAAGTGTCCGCGCGCGCGGCGTACGTTATCTAAGCGTGGAAATATTACGTTTCCCCTCTCTGCGTGTTTAGCCTTCCACGTTTAGTTAGCAACTATCGACTGCTCCGCGCGCTCGTTACACACGAAAACGCATTTCTAGTTCTCGAGCGCTCGCCAATTAAAACTATTACGAAAGTCGAAATCGCGCGTCTCTTTTATCGACGTGTGTTATATGACATGTTTTTTTTTTTTTTTTTGTTTTTTCGAGCAGAGAGAAGAACGTCGCCTCGAACGATTTATTTATTCACTCTTCTTCTCTCATGCAAATAAATAATTTTTTTACTTTTTTTGTTACTACTTTGTTTCGTTACAATTATTTCTCCACAACCGGGAATTATTAAAGAAATAACTTGATACCCGGTCCCTGGGTCACTGGGACATTTAATTTATTACATTTCTCATACGCCCGAGGGGGGCGGTCGGGACTCGGTCACCTGTGCGCGAACGTCTCATCGAAACTGCAAAGAAACCGTCAGCTTCGGAACGTATCGATCCGATAAAAAGCCTACTTTCGCGCGAGACACACAGCGCCGATACCGAAACGCCGATAGCCCCGTAAAGTTTCGTGCGCCACGTAAAGGCAGTAAAGCTTTTTTTTGCGCACACTTATTTATCTCACGGACCGAACGCGAATTCCGTCGCGCCTGTGTAGGTACGTGCGCGCGCGGCGCGATCATTTGGGAAATTGACGTTCCCGAAAATCGATAAATATGGAAACCGCACACACATCTGTAACGTAACACTCTCGTTCCACCTCCCCACCCCCAAAAAAAATAGCGCATCAACTGACAAACGATACCGCAAAACGCGCCGGTGATGATCAAATGTAAAACCGGACACTCGCGGTAATCAAGATACTCTTGCGTTTATCCCGCAATCAACCGGCAATTGCCGAGAGAAATAATTGCGTTAAAGGCCGATCTGATTACCCCCGTAACTTAATACACTTTATCGACGATTTTGCGCAATTCCGCTGGTCAAACGCGCGATTTATGTTTTTCGACGTAACGCAAGAGTGTCTCTCGTTTCTTCTCGCACAAATCGCGCGTAAAAAAACAAAAAAAAAAAACCACGTGCGCAAGGAAAGACGAGACGCAAAAATGTGTCACAAATCTCGCTACTGAGTTGTTGGATCTTTTTTCGATTCTGAAGGGCCCGGGCCGTTTCCGCCCGGTTCGAATTTTTCGAAGTCGGTTTTTCTTCGTCGCCGATATTTTATCTCGACCAAATTTTCACGACGGAATGAAATTTCCGGCGGAAAAGTCGAGGAGAGAGATCCGTGGATTTTTCGCGCGTCGATCGAAACGTGACGTTGAGAAAAAAGTTCGACGAAGTCCCGTCGCAGAAAACGGAACGAATGTCGCGCGAATTCACTCTATTTTTCGCGCTTTCTTTGCAATTTTCTCCCCTTTCGCGTGAAGGAGATGGAGAAAGGGAGAATCGAGTGGCCCTCGTGTCTGAAGATGCGGATAACCGCGCTCAGCCCTCGTGTCTCGAATTAGCTTATCTCGAGTGGAGATCGGCTAAAAGGATAAAGCAGAGAAACACTAACCTGGCGCCGGTTACATTGCCGCAGATGATTGGCTCTTCGTACTCGTTGAACGCCCAATTGGATGAGTTCCAAGTCCACCTGTTGGCGACACGAAAATTCCGTTAGCGTTTTCTTCCTCGCAAGTCCCGAGCTCGCGTTCTCCGGAGAGATTTAAACCCGTACAGAGAAAGGCCGTTGCCTTTCTTCTTTGTGTTCGCGCGAGCGCGTTTTCTGTTTTCTTCTCTCTCGCGCGAGAGGCAGGTCAATTTGTCAAATCAATTTTTCCCCAATTTCGCCAATACGGTGTCCAATACGGCGCGAGCAAATTGAATCAACTTGAAATAAAATGTTCGAGCAAGAAACGCAATGGCCGATAAGAGAAAATGGTAACGTAATTAAATGTAAAATGTCACAAATTGCTTTGAAAAAAAAAAAAAAAAACCAAAAAACCCCTTTTTTTTATCGCGCGCTTTCGGTGGGAATTTTTACACACAAAAATGTTTGCCTCGAAGAGATCCTGTCTTCGCCGGTGACTCTCGAGCCTGGCAACGGAAGATTATAATTATGCGTTGACACGCGCGCGGCCAAAGCTGATGTTTCAACTTTACCCGCGCAAGCGTCGCGGAATTTTGTACCGCTCCGAGTACCGCGATTCTGATTATCCCGAGCGGGAGAATGAAAATCAACCGCAGAGCCCAACGTTCGAATTAATGCTCGCAGCAGAGAATTAATGCGCATTATCTTCCGCGCGTGTTTTCGCACGTGCTGTTTTCTCCCGGTCGTGACGACGAGCGGCGAAAAGATTGCCGTAATAGCGAGATACATCCATCCCCGTCAGGTGTGCAACGTCCACCAGTTTTGTCGGACGCGCCATTCTGTCAAATGGAAAACAAACTGCGCGTTGCACGTTGTGTCCCGCTTTGTGTTTCGTTCGCCAGAAAGTCGCAAAAACACAATGTTGCCTCTCTTTAATAAAAGAAAATAATAAATCTGCGCGAACACATTTTTTTTTTTATTAATATCAGCGACCGCTTCGTATCACACGTGTGTTCTTTAAATATTTCACGTCTCTCTTAAATATTGTACGACAGAACTCCGGTAATTTCGAGCGCGCGAGACCGATTTTTCCTAAAAAAAAAAAAAAAAATTCGAAATTATTTTCGTTCTCTTTTATTTTTCGCGACCAATCGGTAGGAAAAGACAAAAGATACACATTTTTCTCTTTCTCTCAGATTCCCAGAGTGGAGATAGAGACGCTTATTTTGCGAGTCATTGTGCAGTAACTGAAGTACAAGAAATCAATAATGAGGGAAACTATTGGCCGTCCGTCAAGGAGAAATCGAAATTGTGATGCTCGAAATTACTGCAGTTCTACTCTAGCTTCTTCACGAAACAACAGACAAATTCCTCAACTGTTCAGTTACGCGAAAAACAATTTTTACTGGAATAGCAAGAAGATTAGTTACCGCGCGGCCAGCAAGAAAAATTCGCCAAGTCCATTAAATTTGTTGTTTTTTGTTACCAACAAAACGTTTTGTTACCGAAACAAACAAAGCTTAGCAAATTTTTCTTCCTGATCGTATAAGAGCAGAGCTTTTTTTAAAAAAAGCAATATATAATAGCAAAGCTTTTTTTCAAAAAAAAAGCCAGTGTATAAAATAAAATAATAATAATATTCGATTCCAAAAATGAATTACTGAGCCAAGCACGATCTAATATTTATTTTCTACTTTTTGTACTTTGACATACGTTTCGAGCAGAATTTTTGGCTCTTTTCAATGTCAATATATTACATAATAAATGTAATATTGCACATTCATGTAGTGTCTTACTGTCTATATTGACATTGAAAAGGACCGGAAAATCGGGACGGCCCAGAAACGTACGTCAAACGAGAAAAATATTAGAATAAATATTAGATACAATCGTGGCTGGCTGAACACATTTGTTTGTTTTTTTTTTTTTTTTTTTTTTTTTTTTTTTACTTGAACGTCATTTGTTACGAAATCACTCTCGCGCAAAATGAGAACGGACGCGAACGCTGCGAACGAGAAACGTACGAAAGTTTACTTAGAAAAGCGACGCGATACGTTTTAAATAAAACCTGCGCGCGCGAAAAGTGTCGGGTACGTGTTATTTTTTTCACGATCATACGGTAACTAACTTTTACCGTGAATCCATAATCCCCGATGAGGGATTGAGCGAAATTCTCGTCACCGGTGAATCCGCGGCGTTTTCTTTTCACGGAATCGAGTCTATAAATAATGTACCGCCAGCGCTTTTTGCTCCGCAGTCATCCGTGCTCCACTTTTTTTCCCACTTTGTGCCGCGCGCATATCCCTCATGTAAATCATCTCGCACAGAAAGCGCGCGCGCGCGAAAGAGAAAAAGAGTGAGAGGAGAGAGAGAGAGGAGGAGAGAACCGGACTCTCATAAAAGAGAACTCCCTGTATATGCTTTTCGAGTGCCTTCCAGTCGGCGTTTTAACGCGATGCGCCCGTGGTGCGGCATCCCCGCGCGCTAAGGGTGTGCGTGTGTCGCGCGCGCGTCACGCGTCGCGATCCCCCCGTCGGGGGATCCGCTGCGCGCCGTCAAGTGGACGCGGATCGATGATACGTCGTGTCGCGGGGGAAGAGGGAGTCGTAGAAAACGCGGACACAATGAGATCCGCTGGCGGATAGCAAAGTCCGCCTGAGCACGCGGCCCGTTTGGCATCGCGACCGGAAACCCGATAGCGATGCTCGTAAATGCGCGCCGCGCGCCGAGCGACCGGAAGCGAATGCTCGTTGGGACGCGCATCACGCCGACCGTGCAACGGATTACGATACTGATGCGCCACTAACACGCGCTCTTGTGCATTTTCCCCGCTTATGAGACTCTCTGACATGCTTCGAAGTTTCACTCGCGCTTCCCGATACTGATAAAAATAAAAAACATTTCTTAACAAATAATATAATAATATATATCTTAATAAATATAAACAGGTATTTATTATTAATATTATTTCTTAATAAATAATATAACATTGGGTTAGTCAGAAAGTCTTTTCGTATTTTCGTAACTTTAAACTTTCGCGTGTCTTAATAAATAATTTTGTAATAATTTTCAAGTTTATTTTTGTTTAGGTTATGTAATTTATTGTATCGCACGAAAGAAATTATGAGGAAAAAAATATATAGTGTTTATAATTAATATATACTTAAAAAAGTAATGTAGTTTTTATATTATTTATATATATTTAAAAACTAATTTTTATAAAGAAAGTATTATCTTTATTATTATTCTATAATATGTAAAGAAAAAATTAACCGCCGCGGCTTGATAGCGTGATAATAAGCAATTTCTGACTGCGAAAGTAGTTACGATCGGCGACAAGTCAGACGTGTGCAGCGCGCGCACACGTCCGAATGCACGAATACAAAATCTGTTTTATTTGGCCTGATTATTTAATCGCAAGAACTCTATGTTTCCAAGGGATACGCTCGTAAACTAACAATTACCATTTCTCGGGGTCTTTAAAGTGCCGGAATTTTCATCGCTGCGAAAATTACGTGGCCGATTACGATCGGACCGCGGCGGCAATTACGCGGCGCTTTAAACGACCGCGCGCGGATTTACATATCTGCGGCAATGCACAAGATGCACTTATCTTAATTGCTGCGTCCCTTTCCCTCTCGTCTCTCTAATCGAACATTTCCTTACTTTAGCGCGACAAAGGCAAACGATGGCCAATGCGACGCGCAAGGACAATAGAATTTTATCTTCGCGCGACGGGTTTTTTCCCCGTCGCAAGAAGAATTTATCTCTCGACATGTTTCAGATATATACAACACGTCACTTCGACACTTCGAGATGGAATCACTCGACTTTGCTGACAGATTTTGATGTATCAGATTCTGATATTGATTACGCTACAATAAAGCGGAAAATACTGCCAAGGAACGAGGTAATAAATGGGTTGCGACAAATTATTTGCGCAATATTTTCCAATATCGTCGGTTCTCTTTCCAAAGTTCCGGCGCGCGCTGCTCTTTTTCGATTGTAACTTGTACGATTGTTCGACACAAAAGAAATCTCCGCCCTACGACGTGCTTTAACGCTAGAAACTACTAACAAATATATGTGTTGAATATATATCCAGTTTCATCACATCCGTCAATTTGACGGATTTGAAAGAAACATTGAATGTGTTTTTATGTTTGGTTTTTATTTAAAATAAAAGTTATAATTGAATAAACGCAACATTAACCCTCTATAACGCCTTGTAACTTTAAAGTCACTGATGTAATATTATTTTAAATTTATATTCAATTTTTAGCCACAATGTGATGTACGCAGCTCGTTCTGTCGTTACTTTTTTGTAATCATGAAGATTGTTTGTCGCGATTTTCAAGACAAAATTTTAAAAAACTAAAAACTACATTCTTTGACAATTTTTTATAAATTTGTTAAGTTACACATATTTACGGTTACTAGACATTGACATTTGGTTTCACGTTCAATTACAAATACTTAAGATTACTATAGCGATTGATATTTGATGTTAATTTCACGTTACACGGAGCGGCCTGTGGGCTCAGTTGATTTGTGCGGGACTAGTAATCAGAAGATCCCAGGTTCGAATCCGGACAAAAGTATGTTCGGATTTTTACGGGTCGCTCTCCCTCTGACGAGCTTTGATAGCTCACCGAGATGTATCTCTGTCAACGAGATTTCTCTCTCGATTTGAAGTATTTATAACTTCACTTCCGGTGGTTCGGAATCCACTTAAAATTTGTAGGTCCATTGTTACACACTACGATCCGCACGAGAGTGTAACTGAAATAAAGGCTAAATAGTCTTCTCTCAGCTATATAATATCAGCGTATGATGTCGAAGAGATGTTCCTATTTTATGATCTTAACAGATGTGATCACAACAAAAAATCTGAGGCTATATTTATGTTACTTAATTTTTTTATACTTTATACAAAAAAATTTGAGTTATAAAAGGTTAACACTCAAATTAATACACATAAAAAATTTAAATTGAATAATAATTTGAAAATTCATTTAAGATACTACTCTACGTCACGTATGTATCGGAGTTATCCTTTTAACTCCGCAATAAAATTTTCAAAACTCCTATTGTAAAAATGACATTTTGGCTGGGAATTGTTATTCAATTCGAATGTTCTGTATGTAGTAAATTACACGTTCGAAATATATTACACACGTATATCCTGCGTTTTAGTTTATATTCTAGAGGTTGATATTTTTTGTTAATTTCACGTTATATAAATTTTTTTATTGTCACGAAAAACATTCGGGTTGTAGAGGGTTAAATAAATCATTCACTTTCAATTAAAGCGAGAAATTTGAAAACCATCGAGTTTGACGAGTTTGCTAGTTCTAGTGTAAATAGTTGAGGTACACACACACACACACAGATCCCATTAGTACACATTACATATTCACTCGAGAAAAAAAATCGATAACCCTCTTGCGTTTAATTATTCTACTCCATTTACTCCGATCTTCATTAAGATGTGAGAAATACGCGGGGAGATCCGTACAAACCGTCGTGTGAACAGATTACGGATATACTTAACGTGCGGCTGATTATTCGCGGGCTCTAATTACTCGCGCGGAAACAGAAATTATTTACCTGGTAGTTATTCAGTCGCGCGAAAACGACACAGACGAAAAAAAAAAATGAAATAATCAGAAACATTTTGAGGGAAAAAGAGAGAGAGAGAGAGAGAAAGAGAGAGAGAGAAAACTTACTCGATCCAATCGATTTGCGTGGCGTTCGGTTCTTGATGCTTCACGCACTTATTTCTAAGCTCGCCCATGTAAACCTGCAGAGCGAACAGTGCAAAGACCATCAGACAGAAAATTGTCAGCGTCATTACTTCGGCGAGTTGCTTGAAGCTGTGCAGCAGTGCGTTGATGATAGTCTTTAGACCTGTAAACACACACAACACAACCGCAATTTAAACAAACTTGTTTGTTTACAATCTCAGTCAAGATGTTACATTGAAACACGTGTGTATATCTCGCACACAAGTAGGATCGTAAAAACAAAAAGTAACAAAACGTGAATTTTTCGCACGATAACGGTAATTTCGTCTGAAAGCTGAAAATCATATATATTTATTCCGGGGAGCAATCGCGATAAGAGCCACGCGCGCGCGCGCGCGCGGAGCTATTACCGGAAAAACTCACGAGCTCCGAGTGACTAACAATCGCGATTATTAATGCCCGCGCCATTAACTTCGGGGAATAAACCGCGACTGTGATGATGTAAAAGCTGACTTACCTCCGAGATTACACACACACACACACACATACACACAGACTCCGAGAAGAGAAGCGCGTTTTTTTGCTTGAAAAGTGTCCTATTGATCTACCGCCTAAGATGCGCCATTCAACCCGCACTTTCCACCCGACGACGACGTGTCGTTAGCGGAGCATTCATTCATCGGCCTTTAAGATTTTCCCGGTAAACGCAAGCGCGTCGCCGCCGCCCCGCGCGGCCTCCATTGTTCCTCGCCTTCATCGGTTCTTTCCATCTCTCTCGTGTGTTTCTCCGCGGTCTTTCTTTCTCTTTCTCTTATTCTCGTGCGTATCAAGCGAGCGTCGTACTCTCCTCCGAGCTAGCTTATCTTTTATCGGCGACATTCATCTCGATCACGCGATACACCGTCGCGAAATGCCGCCGTGTTACTACTACTAAATATGCGCGCACGCTCCGTCTCTGTTCTCGCGCGAGAACCCTCCTCCCCTGTCGCCGGCAAAAAAAAATTTCCCTCGTTCGGAAAATGGAACGATAACCACGTAATCGGTGATAAATGTTTAATGTGCCTCAATATTTCATACGCGATATAACAAACAAAAAAAAATATACAAAAAAAACTCGAACGGAATTTTCCGTGTTTGCTTTAATTTTGTATTTCCGTTCTGAATCAAATATTGAAAAACACAAATCTTTTCGCAGTTAACAATTCGTACGATCTAAAAAAAAAAAAAGAAAAATCGGTTGAAACGATATCGATGTTCACATACGTGTGTGTGTGTGAGATATCAGTTGAGCGTGTATTTATTTTCGCGATGCAACTTTTGTGACACACGCCGGTTGAATACAAAATTGATATAAAACGGGACCTCGTCAAGAGATGAATCGCTGGTCCCTTTTCATCGAACGTGCGCGTGGAACGTGAAGTGGAACGGACGGACGGGGCGATATGTGAAATAATCCGCGGGCGGTAGTCCTCGCGGACCATACCGCTATATGACAGACGATATTTCGAATTTTGCACTCTCGCGAGAGAGTTGGCCTCTATACGCGTTTAAGTTCGTCGGTCTCCACACACGGTCGACCTGTCATCTTCTCTGCGGAAAACTTAAATCCGCTTCCGCCGTACTCTCGACCGCGCTTTTGTATTTTCGTCCGAGTGGTCAGCGAACTGACTGCTCTTGCCAGTTTCTAGAGTCCCTCCACCTCCCCCTCTCCCGTATATTATGCCTTTTGATCTCTTTAATTTGGCTAAGCTCGTTTCGCGCCGAGTTTCCTGCGGTATATACGGTTCACCCGTTTCCGCGCTTTCTGCCCACCTTTGTTATTTCGCGCCAAGTTTCACCGCGCTCGGTTTAAAGCCCCCGCCACGTCGTGCATATATTTCGCCAGAGACGGAAGACAGTATACTCGCGAGAGTATTTCATTTTGCGGATATTTCGCGCGCATATTTCGTTGCGATAATCATTCGGACTCAATTGTTTTTTTTTTTAAGTTATTTTTTTACAAATTTGTTACGCGCGTTGTTTTCAAACAAAGACCGTGCGGCAATGAATATTACAAGCGTGAATTTCTCGACTGTCGTTCGGCCGTTGTCCGCGCGAATAAGGTAAACGCGCGAGCGCACGGGCGATAAATCACGACATACGCGATCATCACGCGAAATTTATTCACCGGACTTTTAGTTATCCGCGAAGCGATCATTTGTGCTCATTTCAGCGAAACGCACGCGGGCGCTTGATTTAATACACGCCTGATTAAAAGCGCGAATTAATTACGATCCGTTTGGTTTGTTTGCCGACTGATTAATGCGCGTCCGGTGTGTCCGGTATCGATCAAGCGCACATTCGAGCGCCGCGCTTAAATATTGCGCAAACGACGAAATCGATATGTCGCAGCAGTTTGTGACCGCGATATAAAGCAAGTCGGTTTAACTCTAGAAAATAATTTCCTTTTTCAAGCTTTGCGCGCTCGCACGAAGATGAACTTATTATTCACGCGCGTTCACTCGTATATTAATGGAAAAAATAAATTATTTCGAGCGGTTAATGGAATGAACAAAGTGGAAACTTCAATTTTCTTCCAATTAAAAATGAAGATTCCATATTTACCGTTTCTTTTTTTTTTTTTTTTCTATGTCGGTTATATCGTCGGATAAGATAAGTGTCCCAATGACCGGACAACTGGTCGAACATTTGTTAAAAATTCAGAACGATGTTGGCAGATTTTTAAAAATAAACGAAGACCAATAGGAGTACGAACACGGTTGGTTGTGTGTTTTTAAAATGAAAATTGTGATAGCAACTTTGACTGTTCGGTCTTTACAAACCAACTGCATCTCTTGAGTTTAATATCATAAGCAACAAGATATTACCTCTCATAGTGTCTTATTTTATTTTTTTTAATTTTGTAAATATTGTTTCTCTCTCGATCAATTTTATATATAGCGAGACACTGATAAAGATCGCAGAGATCGACACGTTTGCAATTTATTGAGTCATACTAAAGAATTTGAAAACAGCAATCAACGTGTTTCAGATTCTTATTGGCCTGTCCTCCGTTCTCATTTAAATATAATTGTAACAAAACATTTATCTTCGAAGTTGGAAACTAAACCATAAGTTAAAACTAAAGAGAAAACTCAAGAATTAAGAGTTTGAGAGCCAAACGCTGGATGTACGTGCGTAATATATTTTGAACGTAAAATATGTAAATTACTACACACATAGAAAATTAGAAATAAATAAACAATTCCTGACCAAGATGTCTCTTTTGCAATGTTTTGGAAGTTTTTAAAATTTCATTGAAGAGTTAAATGGACGATTCATATATACATGACGCAAAGTAGCATTTTATATGAATTCTCAGATTATTATTCAATTAAAATTTTTTTTGTGTATTAATTTGAGTGTTAACCTTTTATAACTCAAATTTTTTTGTATAAAGTATAAAAAAAAATTAAGTAACATAATATAGCCTCAGATTTTTTGTTGTGATCACATCCGAAGATCAGAATGAAAATGGAAACATTTTTTCGACATCATACGCTGATATTATATAGCTGAGAGAAGACTATTTAGCCTTTATTTCAGTTACACTTTTGTGCGAATTGTAGTGTGTAACAATGGACCTACAAATTTTAAGTGGATTCCGAACCACCGGAAGTGAAGTTATAAAATACTTCAAATCGAGAGAGAAATCTCGTTGACAGAGATACATCTCGGTGAGCTATCAAGCTCGTCAGAGGGAGAGCGACCCGTAAAAATCCGAACATACTTTTGTCCGGATTCGAACCTGGGATCTTCTGGTTACTAGTCCCGCACAAATCAACTGAGCCACAGGCCGCTCCGTGTAACGTGAAATCAACATCAAATATCAACCGCTATAATAATCTTAAGTATTTGTAATTCAACGTGAAACCAAATGTCAAGTAACCGTAAGTATTTGTAACTTAACAAATTTATAAAAAATTGTCAAAGAATGTAGTTTTTACTTTTTTAAAATTTTGTATTGACAATCGCGACAAACAATCTCTGTGATGTGAGAAAGAATTTACAGAACAGGATGCGTACGCTATAATTGTGAAAAAAAAAAATTTGACTAAAAGAATATTATTGTATAATTTTGTGACCTCAAACTTACACTTAAAAATATAACTCGCACATACGTCCAGCGATTGGCTGTCAAAGCTTTATTTCTTGATTTACTTTATATTCAACAGAGCCGTATATTTCGTTGCAATAAAAATATATCTTAAATTAAAACTATCGAGAATTGCTGTGATCAATACGTACAACAATATTTACGTACATCTAATAAACGTCCGGTCGCTGAGACATTTACCTTTGTATATCTGAAAATACGCGCGCATTCGTTTTTGAGACGCGCGCGTGGTTTACCTGGCATAATGGATACAGTCTTAAGTGCTCTCAACACCCTGAACGTCCTGAGACCGGCCAGATTCCCGACCTCCATCCCGATAGTGGCGTATCCGCTGCTAATCACCACGAAGTCCAGCCAGTTCCAGGGATTCCGCAGATAAGTGTACTTGTTCAATATAAATCCCTTCGCTATTGATTTTATCACCATTTCAGCCGTGTACACGGCTAGGAAGAAATATCTGCAACACGAGAAACAGAGAGCGAACGCGTGAATTTACTCCGCACCGTCCGGTACGGGCATGCACAAGCGTTATCATTTATTATCGAAATCCCGTGACGTATTTTTGACCAAAAAGTCACGCAACAACAAACGCGTTACAGCTTCTTTCGCTTGGACCATGACGTCAGATTTATTTTTCGCGACGAAACTGTTGCGAAAACGTTTTGCGTGACATTTCTCTTATTTGTCAGAAAAAAAAAATTTAAAGAAGCTGTTTCGCTAGAACGACACCAAAACCCGACGGGGATATTTCTCACGGTTTTTGTTTTAAATTACAAAAATGTTCCGAGATAACTTTATCTCACCAAGGAAAAACTCACCAAGTGCGAAATATTAAAGATCTCTCTGTAGCTGAAAGCTTGTTTGTTAGTTAATTATTCAAAAATATTAAGTTAAACGTTGAAAATATTTTGATATTAAAGAAATTGCAAATAAATAGAAAGTAGAATCGAATTTCATTTCATTTCTTAGTTTAAATAAAGAAAGTAGTTTTTAAAATTCAACTCTCCGATTGTTCTCAAGCGTTTTATAAGAGGATTTAAATACTTGCTATATTGAAACTAATCGATCGCGCGCGATACATCTGCAGGATATTATTCCGCACTTGACTGATTATGTGTCGTTCAAATTGGAAGTAGATGCAAGTCCGGACTGCGTCTATACATAAATCATCTTGTCTCGTTCAACCACTCGGATCAATCACGTCGAGTGTAGCGCTGCGAGCGAAATGCGAGCGATCAATTTAACTTTTTCAACGCAGCGTGTAAATAAAATTGCAACATAAAGAATCTTTACATTGCGCACAAAAGGATAACAAGCGAGTAACAGAGTGTCTAAAAGTATGCTCGCAAGTAACTGCAGTTTTTTTTTTTTTTTATCTACGACGAGATCTCCGTTCTGTGAGTAATTGGCTAATGTCGAGCAATAAACCAATTCGCTTTGCGCGAGAAGCCACAAACTTCTCTTCCCTCTCGGTTATCGTCCGCGAGACAAAAAACCTCCGACCCAATTCGAATGGCGGACAAGAAAGGCGCGATCTTCTTCCTCTTCAAGCTTTCCCGCGTCTCAAACGTTGCGTCCTGCGGCATTTCGACCATCTTCGTCGCCGCGGTGACAGATCCAACCCGCATTCTGCCGCGAGTGCACGGAATAACCGCAGCGCGTCGGGCTTTGTTTCCGCTTTTGTGCGACCGTGATGAGGTGCTCCTCTGTTGTGCAAAATGCGCGACCCGACGCGCTCCTTAATGAACATTTTGCACGAGTGTGGGATCATCGAGCGCACTCGAGTCATCAAAGAGAACCGTATCATTGCCGCACATACATAACGTAAATATAGTAAAGTCGGTTCAAGGTAAATGACAGGTAAATGACATTTATCAAAGAAACAATTCTTTTACGCGCAAATACAAAAACATTCTCAATGCTTCAAGTGGTTTTTAAACTTTTTTTTTATGCTTTTACGTATTAATATACAAGTATGCAATGTGTGAATATAAAAATATATTAATACATAAAAATTTATAAGCATCTTATATCAAGTGTTAATTTAAAAAATTGTTGTTTAATTTGAATTTTCTATGCGTAGTAATTTACATGTTAAAAATATACTTCGCGCAAGATCCAACGTGTGGCTCTCAGAGAATCCTATTTCTTGATTTAATAAATTTATAAACACTATATATTTATAGTTATTTATGTATGTATTTATGTATAGTTTTATTTTGTATTATAAAATTACTTTGTTAGATAATTTATACATGTCTATTTTATCAAATATATTTTATAATTATTTTTATCACACACAATTATTTCATGTTATATAATATTTATATATTTTTGATATTGTTGTGTTATTTATATTGATTGTATATTTTATTATTGTTGTTATTTTTCACCTTTACGTACATAAAAAACACTTCGTCATAATTATTTCTTTAATAAACGTCCGACCGGCTTATCCGGCCATTGATCATTTACCTTACTTGAAGTTTTTTTTTTGGCTTTTCTTCTGAGAGAAAGGGACGTACGTCGTCTTGAAATTTCGCGAGAAACGAGGAATATACGTAAATTATGAATGATTTTTGGATGGGATTTTAATTAATCCGCTCGCGAGAAACGTATCAATCTCTTATCTTTGAACGAGTTAGGCCAATTAACTTTCACAGCGCGAAGTTTGAAGAGATCACTTATTCACCGAGCCTGAAAAGCTCGTTAGTCTGACACGCCTTTGCAGTTGCGGGGGGCAAATTGTCGGGGAGAGAGCATATTCGGCGGGAGAGCGTTAAAACGAATTGCCGTCCGCAGTTTCCTGCGACGAGAAATCGTCGCGAATCCTAGTCCTCCTCTCTTTCTCTCTCTCTCTCTCTCTCTCTCGCTGGAGGATACTTAACTTAAGAGGATTACACGCCGAGCGAGCACACATATGAAAATGAACGTCAGTTTTGTGCATGTTTAAAGTGCACTAACCCATCGGTCCGTTATCAAGTTCTCCCGAATATGTCGCGAATCCGCGGAATCCGAGTAACCGAAGGTAAAGAGCCTTTTTGTTGTGAAGCTCAACTCGCGGAGGGATTTTCGCTTGTCGCGAAAAATTGCTAAAAAAATCGCTTCGAACGCAAAAGCGAATCTTCTTCCCATTACGCGCGAGCGTGCAGACAGATTTCCTAATGGACGTTTCGTATCCAATCGCCGCATACATAATCATGAGGCGCCTCTATACTTACTCGGCTTCCTCGAAGGTTTCGGTCATGGCCAGGAAGACGCAGTTAGTAAGTATTGTAGTCATGACCACGTAATCGAAGTACTGATTCGTACTCAGGAAGATGCACCACCGCCGTATCGGATTCCACGGGGAGAATATGAACCAACTATTGGTCGCCGTAAACCTATGGATGTAGTTCTTCCGGAACCTCTTGGACACCACGCAGAACGTCTGAAACAACAACACACAGCCGCGCGACTTTACTTTTTTTGTCTGTCTTCTCGAAAATTCTTCAATTTTTGTTAAAACAAATTTTCTCTAAAAACAAAAAAATCTAAGAGAATTAATTCTAATCCTGTAAACCTCTGAACTTGTCGTCCGAGTAATTTTTGAAAATAAAATCCTTCGGTATAGTTTTTTTAAAGAAGAGAATAAAAACAACAGCAAAACTAATGTTATTTCCTTAATCTGGAATAAAGCTCCGTGAATTTTTACAGATTTTTGCAACGTTTTAACTAATAAAAAAAAAACTCGCGTAGGACATGAATGTCAGAGTTCACATGGATTAGAATCAATAGAATATAAAAATAATTATTTTTTTAAACCAGCAAAGAGATTAATTCGGTTTTGACAAACCCCAATGCGCTAGATGAAGAGAATTCACATAATAATTTAAAGTTAAACTCGATTCGAAAATACTTCAAACGCTCGAGAGGTTTCATCTCGCATGGAGACTCCTTTCGATGAGTTTAATTAAAAAAAAAACCACTGCAAAAAATGACCGGTGTCACTTTTATTTCTGGTGTTTCGTTACGTACATATACGGTTGGAACCACGTACGACCTGAAAAGTGTATATTTTTTGTTACTTTCAAAAAAGGGATTTCAACTGGAAGTACTTTTCTGTTTATGGAAAGCATTTTGCAAATGGAAACGCGCGCTTCTTCGACGAAGCGGAATATGCGAAATTGTAAGTTCGGGTGACCTTTGAGCTCTATAAAGGGCCGCCGCTCGGGGACTATAATCCATTTAGAGCAATCTAGCGAGAAGATCAGCCGGCGTTATCGGAGCGCTCGCTATGTACGTGTATATAAGCAGACCGTATTGCGTTTCACATGGACGATGCTCACTCCGGAGAATAATATTCTCTCGCACGCGGCTTTATATATATATATATATATATATATATACGGATGGAAAAACGGCGCGTTTCGATCCATTCGCGCGAGAATATCAAACATGTATGATGCACGAGAGGGTGCGATTGACGAGAAGAGAGAAAGAAGAAGAACAAGTCCGACTAAAAATTTGAGTCGTTGCATTAACAGTTGAGCCGCGGGTGCATCGTCAAAAATTACTGAGAGCGTCTACCTTGACGAGGTGCCACCGTCGCACAAACGCCACGTTAATGAGCCAGCGCTTGACATTTCGCTCTTCTGAAGAATAAGACTCGTCACAAAGACTCACTACCGAGACTCGACTCGTCTGCGTAGTTTCGGCTTATCAATCGCCCTCCTCGAAGAAGAGAGACGCGCGATCCGCCACGTGCGATCGTCGCGTATATTCTTGAGAATATAAATTTTTGCGAAACAAAATATAAAGCGTGAGATAACGGCTGGTCCGGGCCGGTTTTACGCGGCTCGCTGCTTCCCGAATACGTAGCTTTAAAGCGACGCGCGCTATAAGACGGCGGCGCGGCCTCCGAAAGCGGCAGTGGGTCAACGCGTAATTATTAACAAGTCGTTTCAGCATTCAGATAACGTCGACGGGGGCACCTGTACGAATATAATTCCGGTTCGCGGGATGATTTTAGAAACCGGCGCGGATACGATCATTACTTTCTCTCGTGTGTTTCAGCGCGACGACGAGATTGCTGATTTGTTAATCGCTATCTCCGTAAAATATACACATCGAGATTTGCAAACGTCGGGATTGCAAAAATGAAGAAGAAGAAGAACAGACGAGAGTCCTCGCACAAATTCGCCTCGTCACTTGACAAAATCGATACACTGTGTCTGTCGATAAAAATTTCATCCCGACATTGCCACAATCGTTCATTTATTCACTTTTCTCTCCCGGCGATCTACCTATATACGTTATTCGACCGACGTTCGCTCATTATCGGGGGACTTTCCAAAAGACTTGTGTGTGTTGTAATCGTTCATTTTTTTCGGATTAGATTTCGATTTTTTTTTTTTTTTTTTGTTTCTTTCTCATGACCGAGCCAAAGCTCGGCTTTTCACGAGCTTCCCGAGAAACGGAACCGACGAAGGCCAACGGCCTACTTTTCGAGTCATCAGATGCGACGCTGAAAGTGGAGCATGCCGGAGCCGGGATTATTAATCGGGGAGAAAAGGGGGGTGAGAGAGAGCATGTCGTCGCCTCGAGGACCGACTCTCTCTCTCTCTCTCGGACTGAAAAATATGCGCGCAGAAATGACGCGCATCGCGGCAGTCGTCGCAATTTGCATCGTTTAACCCTTTCGCCGGACGAACTTCCCTCCCTCCCCCCGTGCCCGCAACGTGTTTTACCCCCATTCCAGCGGGCGCGCGTTTTTCTTCCGCCGACGACCGTGTAAATTCTCCCGCGGTTAATTTTGCTCCTATTTACACGCGAGTGGAGGATCATTAACAAGGCGTGTTTCTCTCTCTCTCCTTCTCTGTCTCTTTCTCTCACTCGGAAATAAAACGCAGACGACGTGATTTCTCTCGACCGCAACGCGCGCGAGTGTCGGTAACTCCCTTCGCGCGCCACAGAGGAACGACGTCGAGAAAACTTGGCAAAACCAAAAAAAAAAAAAAAAAAAAACACGATGTCCGATCAAGTTTCGCTGACGAAAAAAAATGACACCCGGAACGCAAAGGACAGCGTCACATTTTTTTTTAAAGATGTATGAGTTCTGTCGGACGGGCGAAAAGATGAAAAATGAAGAATTCATTCGGCGCTGAAGCGAGGAATAAATCTAACATCGCGCGCGGAACTCCAACAAGTGGAAATTGGAACGGGTTACAGTAGTAGTTTCATGACAGTCTAATTTAGAAAAGTTTATTTCACATCTCCGAACGGAGCGAAATTATACACGACGTTAACAAGCGTTTTAATCAACTTATCTAGTTTTAATTAACCCATCTATTTTCTACTCGAGATGGTTATTTAAGCGCGACGCGGCAAACAAAACAAAAACAAAACGCAACACTTGCCCTCCCCGATTAATTAATCTCCTCGTCGTCGAGGAGTCAACGAGCGAGAAAGTTTAATATCGGCGTCAATTTTTTCTTTTTTTCTTTTTTTTTTTTTTTTTTTGTTCGCGTTTCAAACGCGAACTGCAGCGAGTGTAAACCGAGAAACCGTGTGAAAAAAAAAACACACACAAGTGAAAACGATATCGATCGTTTTCGCGGCTTTTCTCTCGTCGCGCGCTCGAAACTTCGCCGCGTCGATCCTCGTCGGGCGTTTAAACGACCTCGTTTTTACGGAAGCGAAACTTTTGCGACTTAGCGCCTTATAGGTAGTCACACCGAGACGCGGTGCGTTTCGAATTCGCGGAGAATGACAGAACGCGCGAGGTGGCGAAATCAAAACCCGGAATTGATTGACCATAAAATAGCGGTTTAATAGCGGTTTCATTCGCGCGGCGATCGGTACGCAAATCGCAGCGAAATCCACTTTGCGGTGGATGAATTGCGGCAGATTTGTCGACAAAGCGCAAGCAATCGATATCGAGAGACCTCGCTATTAAGAGACCTCCCCCCCCCCCGTTGTGCTAAGTTATAATCGTTTATTCCTCACGAACGTTTAGTTGCTCGGCAAACAAAGAAGGACGTAAAAAAAGTAAATTAAAAATGAGTCTTCCTCACTTCTATATTGGTTAAACAATTTAAACAACGCGTAACAGTTCAAACATACCCGCTCCTTTTTTACGTCGTTGTTTTATCAGTGTATAATAATAATAATAATAACAACAACATTAGGAAAATCCCGCCAACAGGCAAGACTGATAAAAATGTAAGCTCGGCCTAACGATAAAAAAAAAATTCGCCGCAAATGTTCAATTGTCAGCAAATGTACACGGTAAAAAGTGTAATAACTAAACAATTGCCCTGTACAATTCTATTGGTTAAACAATTTAAATAAAAAATCATTTTTCACTTTCCTGTTTTTCAAGCGTTGTTTCATCAGTGTGTGATAACTTTATTGTCACACGTGAAAAGTGACCGCGGGAAAAGAAAAAAATACACGCCAATAAGCGGGACAACGGGCAAAGATAATATAAGCCTGTGGCCTAAGTGACAAAAAAAAAAAAAAAACTCAACGAACGAAAGAAAACGAATACACACTTGTGTACATATACTAATGATACACCTCTTTCCGAAGATCGCATAATAACGTGTATATCCACATGACGTGTGACAAAGGGGGTTAGCTATGCACATAAAGGATAATGTCTGTTGATTGCTCGGTTTGGCGCCCCTTCAACCCTTTGCTCGCTTGACCTTGCATTAACCGAGCACGTGTAATCAGCCATTAACCCACAATGCCTAGCGTATTAGATTAGACTACATCCGTGTTTAGATTACATCTAAACAGGCATCATGCGGCTCTTTCCCACCCTTCCTGCGGAAATAGCCTCAGAAAGTCTCTCCTATGTTTTTCTCACGCGAGAAGAGGAGCTTCACCGTCGTTCGACGTAAGCTACTTTCGTCGCGTTCCGCGGGAAACCGGAAGGAATTTATGCAATTCTAAACAGCGCGCTTTTCTCTCTCTCTCTCTCTCTCTCTCTCTCTTTGAATATTTTAATTGATAATTCTCTCCCGATCGCGCGAACACCGACAACCTTCGTACGTTTATCTTCGATCGTTTCATTACCCGGGTAATTGGAACGAGACAAATACCGCGGCAAAACTGGCGGAAAAACGTTTTCCGCCCGTCGGTCTCTCTCTATCTATCTATCTCTCGCTCTATTCTTTATTTCATTCTCGCCGCCGCTCCATGTTCCGTGTTTAAACGCCATTTGAAAACAGCCTCGGGTTCCGCGAGCCCGCGTTTCAGCCGATTTTCCGTGTCAATCAATTTCCGGGAAGTTGCGCTATATTTTTTGCATCCTTCCCCTCTTCCCTTCCTTCGCTATTCCTGTTTTTTATCCGTTTCGCACATTTCGTTTCGGTGGTAGAGTCTTCGGACCGCGGGGTGAACGGCGGGCCCGTTATCGCAACCGGGAAACCGGCGCTTTTT